AGAAGCTCTCCAGCTACAATGCGTTGATTAAATGGGAAATTTTTTTTTCTTCATGTGGTTGTATTTTATGGTCATTATTCTCAATATATCATAAATCTAAGGATATGTAGCATATTTTGCAATGATTTAATTAGAAAAGCTTTGGTTACATATTAGTAATAGTTGTCCTATTACAATTGTGAAGATCCCATGTTAGGGTTTGTAATGTTACTGCTTTGTTCAATGCACTAACAATTCATTCTGCCTCTCTAAGGAAGGGCCAACATAATGGTGGATGAAGAACAGACATTCACCTAAGAGATAAATAAAATTCAGGACCACTCACAAAATTCCAGGCTTCATATGGGGATCTACCCTTTGTGTAAAATAAAATATTGTATGTGTCATGACAATTGGAGTATCAATGATTTAATTATATCCATAAACTATACCTCTGACATATATGTCACTAACTTTTCAGCTACTCAATAAATATATAACTGGAAACAAAGATCTTTAATTTTTCAACTTACTGAAATATTCCTCATGTGTTTCAATGAATTAAAAGCTTTCAGTGAATTAAACCATATTCTTATGAACACTTGCAATAAATTTTCATAAAATGGAATGGTCTTTGTTTGCCAATTTATTTCAGTTTAGACCCAAAATCTGTTTAACTGTGTCTGATGCTGACATTTTTTTCCCCCCCGAGACAGGGTTTATTAGTGTTGTTTCGGTGCCTGTCCTGGATCTTGCTCTGTAGACCAGGCTGGCCTCCAACTCACAGAGATCCACCTGGCTCTGCCTCCTAAATTCTGGGATTAAAGGCATGTACAACACGGCCCTTCTGATGCTGACATATTGGTTTTGCTTTAAGCAACAATTTTTTATTTGCAAAGCATATTTTATGATGTGCATAGACAATAGGTATTGAAGGGGAGGTAGAGAACAGAATACTCAGCTAAAGATTTTGTCTGCATGTTTTATTCATTGAATTAAATTCACTAGCAAAGACAATATTTGCTTTTTAATAGTTTTTTAAGAGGCTAATGATTTATTCATCAGGCAACTGCAATTTAATAGTTCTTTATCTTTAAAAAAATTATCTGGTAGTTTATAAGATCTTTCAAATAATATAGCCTATATTTAACAAAATAGGTAATCAAGACAATGTGTTTTTAAGTAAAATCAACAAGAAATGAAGCTAGTAAGATTAATTATTATGTAGCAGTGTAATGTTGAAAATAGAAAGTAACAACTGACATAAGATAAAACAATTTGGAAAGTACCAAATTTTTAATTTAATCCAATTCTTTTAATTACCTCCTTAGCATATAGACTTTAGCAAATTTCAACTTTCTAGTGTTAGTTTGGTTGAAAAAAATATTTCTCAAGATTGATATGGAAAGAATATGACACCATATATATTACTTATCAATACATTTATTATTATTTTATTAACAATATATAGTAGTATATTTCTTATGGTTTTCTATAATAGTATTCAGTGATGTTCAGATTGGTTTGGTCATAAAATTTATATTGACATTTTTATATGAGTGACAGTATTTTGGATTCTAGGAGTGACTGTAGAAGATTTTTCTAACTGTAATAATATACATAGAAAAGAAGGTCTTGCTCAAAGAAAGAAGTAGAACAATGAGACATTCTATTAATTTCTTTCTGTTTAGTTTTCAAGAGTTAGCGACTGATCTTAGTAAAATTCTTTTTAATAATCATAAATGTAATATACATACATATAATATATAGAATACTATTAAAAATAAGCCGAGATAAAAGACAATTAACTTTTACTCTGTTTTCATGATGAAATAAATATAGCAGTATGAATCAAATGAAAGGCAACAATTTCAGGAGAAATAAATCCAGGAGCTAGATTCCTAGAAACTGTTTTAGAAGCCCTAGCAATGGGAGGTAAGCATAAGTTATTTAGAATAATAATTTAATTTTATTGTCATATTTATATATTTGTTTTGGAAATGATTACCTATTGAAAAGATACACTTAGAGGAAAAGCTAAATATTCTAAAACGTTGAACTATGTTTTAAAATTAGTTGCTAGTTACTGTCTATATGATGCACATATGATGTGTGGCTCTACGTTGGTGTTCTCTTTCAAAAGATGTCTTGTATATATGGGCCTGTACTTAAGCATTTAGAAGATGTTACATGAAACCATTCTTGGTAAAGCTGCTTGCTGCTAAATTTCTTTCTAATCAAAATATGACATAATTATTCCAAAGGTATCTAAGTTTAGAGAAGTCTATTAACTCTGACTCTGAACATGTGTATCTACCGGTCAGACTACCTATGACCATTTAACATTCATAATTGTCCTTGCAAACTAAAATTGAATCACATGTCTTTACTCTGGTCAATAATTTATAATCTTGCTAACACATTCAATAATAGGCAAAATACAGTCAACTGGATAAGTGATAACAGATGTCACACGAAGAGTTCTTTAGAAAATTATATCATCATGTTTGTACTGATTTTGAAAAGTTCTTCATTTATATCAGGGTCAAAGTGTTATTAAATCAACTATAATGTTAGTTGTGTGGCTTACTGGTCCAATTTAATCTTTATTTTATAGACTTGAGCATGAAGCCACAGCTAAAAAAGAAAAAGGGGTAAGAGACAGGAAGCAGGAAAGTTGGAGATGAGAGGACAAACCAGTCAGATTTTGGAATACCCATCAGCACAAAGTTTCAGGGGAAACAACAAGTAAATTCATACAGCTCCTCTGAGAGAGCACCCGGTCACATTGATGTCTATGTGATCGCTCAGCTCCTCCAGCTTTTGATGGAGCTACATGCAAATGTCAGAACAGTAACTGAAAAGGTAACTTGTTTTGTCTTCATTTTTCCTTTTAAAAATAAGATCGTAGCATTATACATTTCTCACTGCCTTTGGCAAACATTTCAAAATACCACAGATTTTTCTATAACATAAGAATATAACAGTTTCAATAAACTTGCAACTAGGAAGCCAACATTTTATTTTGTTCAAACACATATTTTCCACCATGTAAATATTACAACTATTTTTATAATGTCCTGGAGATTCATTCTAAGATTTTTCTACTTGATAGATACATAGCATAAATATATTTAAAGACCAGAGAATTTGCCTTTTCCCCAAGCACAGTGTTCAAGCTAAGGCTGCATCCATATTGAAACAGGCTGACTGAACTATAAAATGAGTGTTTTATTCTTAAGCATGTATCAAAACTTTTAAAGATACATACAATATAACTTTAAGTTCTATATATATCTCAGAACTGAACTTCTGTTACACACATTCATTCATACATGCAAATTAATTTATATCAGGTACTACAGTTATAGATGCCATTTTTAAGTTCAGTTCACTATCAGTTACTTTTAGAACTTTATATTGTATTGTATCTTCTTAGCTGAGTCTGTGTCCTAATCAACAGTGTAAACTACAACAGACTTACTGTCTCTTTAAGACAAAGGTAAAGTATGATATAGTGAAGAAGTCTACATTTTATTGACTGAATAATTTCTGAAACAGGCAAACATCACCATGTCCCATCCTTTACAGAAGTAACTTTTTGTTTTTGTTTTTGTTTTTTTTGAGACAGGGTTTCTCTGTGTAGCTTTGCGCCTTTCCTGGAACTCACTTGGTAGCCCAGGCTGGCCTCGAACTCACAGAGATCCACCCGGCTCTGCCTCCCGAGTGCTGGGATTAAAGGTGTGCGCCACCACCGCCCGGCTCTACAGAAGTAACTTTTAAATGTAAAAGCTATCTATCTACTATGAGGCAATGTTAAGGAACAGAGAGGATGGCTTTTCTTATAAAGAACACAGACATACAAACACAGGTTCATCCATGTGCATTCATGTTTGCACATACTCACAAACAACAAAAAGATAAAACTCAGAAGGCAGAAGAATCAAAGGGGAGGAAAGAGTACAGAAATTTGACTTTTTAAAAACTGTTAAATGGAAATAAATTGGAGCTATGGAAAAATTTGGAATGACTGAGTTAATTAGGCTTTAATATAGTTAGTGAATTTTATGACATCTCAGTGTACTGAATTATCTGGCATTTTGACTACTTTAATAGTTGTTACTGCTGTGAGGATATTTGGGATTGAGATATAAAACAATGGTTAACTTTAATTGTGCCTATTTTTATAGTTAACATTTTTCTAACTTGTATTTATGTGGCATCATTAAAAGTAGTCAGTGATAAATTTTTTTTTAGATTTCAATGGGGATTAAATAAATGATAAGAGTACCAAGTGCCCAATATGTATCGACCAGGTGACATTTAGCCATTAACAAATAGGATCAGAAACCTTAATTGTATATTAGAAGATTATGTACAAAGTGGGCAAATATTTAGATATATACGTTTTTGTCTAATGTTACATCAACTTTTAAATGTTAAAAAAAGCAAAAGCACTAAGAGTGCTTTAACACTAAATGCAGTATATGGGTCCATTATACTGGCATCATACAGCTTTTCTTCCTAGTTCTTAACATGATGCATATTCAACATATGTTATTAACTCATGATAAGTTTTATTCTGGAATGAATTAAGCTGGTAATGACACTAAAATAAAATTTAATGTTTTTTATAAGATAGGTTAAAAGGGAAGGTGACATTCTGAAAAATGTATTAATTCTCTGTTTAAGAAGAATTTTAACACATAACTGGTGACATCAGTCAGAGGAACGGTTTACTCTAGAGCCCCAAATCGCAGGCACATGTAATGAGGCAGTTGCCCTTTCTTGTTTGTGGTGCCTTTCAAAGCTAGTTATTTGGCAGCTTGCCTTCAGCTGGTTGCTCTATATGTAGCTGAAAACGAAACAAAAAATAATATGACCCAACAGCCAATAAAAATATTAAAATAAAAAATGGGATGGTGAAAAATGGAAAAAGCCCGCTTCCTCCCTCCACCCTCCAAAAAGGAAGTGTAGGCTATAGACAAAATCTTGCCAAAAAATGTTAGAAACATATTTACTTTGAGGGATCCAACTCTACTAGCAACTCCTTTGCTTTCATCCGGCCGTCTAATTTGCTACAATGAGGGAAGATGGGTAAAAAAGACAGAATAAAGAAAAAGTGAACTTAAATTTTTTTCTACACATTAGTAAGCAGTACATGCAATTCATTAATTGACTTAGGCTCCTATTATAAGATCAAGGAGTTAACTAACCCAGATGCTATATGACATGCTCTGCAAATAGATCTCTAGAATTCAGTTTTCTGGTACGGCACTATTCCTGAGAGGAGGAAATTGGCACTTACTTTTGGTTATCTTGGGGACTTCTGATGAAGCAGTATCTGGAGTAGTGTTACATTTGCATTTAGCTTACAAAAAACAAAGAATTACAAATATACCTATGCACGTTTTCTCTTTCAGGGTTTAAAAGTCTATTCTATTGTAATATCAGAAAACATCAATGGTATGACAAGAAACATGAGTGTTCTTTAAGCAGAGAGATCAATCCCAACAAGCATCATTCTTACTGGTGACAGTGAGATTCCTCTGCTTGCCAATTCAAGCACAGAGGTTGTTCAGCTGTCATTATGATTCCCAATTAAACAATTATGCTGCCAATCAGAAAATTTTAATGCCAGACCAATGCTAGATATAATAATTCCTTCAAAGCCTTTTCTTATTTCATCTGAATTTTTCTTTCAGATAAAATAGGGGAAATAAAGCCTGGTGTGGTGGTGTGTACATATAATCCTAGTCCTACTGAGGTAGGGGTAAGCGGGACAATCTCAAATTCAAAGTTATACTGAGTTACAAGGGATACACACACTCTCCCTCCCTCCCCCTCTATTTTCTCATACACACACTCACTCTCTCCTTGTAAGCAAGATTCAGACCAAGGGATTTTACACTCAATGCTGTACTTCACTTGGAGGTTGTCTTACTTCTAATCAGCATGGGTCAAGTTAACTGTGAGGCTCATCCCCGTGTGGGCAGATAGCATGAGGTGCATGATGACAAACCTCTGGTGTTAACGTCCTCAGGAAAATAATATACCTAATTATATTACAAGTTTTATTCCCTGGAAGCAGGGTCGAGATTCCTGTTAAGGTGTCTCAGAATACCATATATAGGTTACTGGGAAATACTGAGAAGATGAAATTCCTATTTTGAAAAACAAAAACGAACAAACACCTCCCCCAAACCAAAAACAAACTGATAAGCTTATTTATACACAAGAATTATATAAACATTTGAAATGAAAAGATGTAACAAGTTATTCAGCATGAGCTGTTTTGGCAAAAAGATAATAATTAATTTTGACTTTTCTTTGTGAATGAGAATTGGCAAATTTAGAAATAACTGAACAGACCGAACAATGAGAATGACTTCAGTTCAAAACATCTACACATTCTCTTCTTTACATTCTTTTACCTCAAAGAACATCTTACACCAAAGGCTGTTTTCCATGTCAAATGGAAATGAACAGTCCCTGGATTATAAAGATATTCTTTGTAGTTTCCTATAAAAATACAGTGATTACAATTTTCTGCATTCTTTTTTTCTGTAAAAATATTAAAATTACATTAAGTCAGACAACAAACACATTAAGTGTTTTCTTCAAGGTTCCAGTAGATCTTGATTATTGTTAGTTAATAGTTTAAGGTTATAGTCCCTTAATTGGCCTGAAAATACAGAGGGTTGAAAAATAGTGCTTATAAAAGGATGGATATGTGTATGTCTATATATTTTTCCATTTATGATGATTGTTTATTTGAGACAGAATCTTGCCGTGTAGCCCAGTATGGGCTGGAACCTGCTATATAGCCTAGTCTAGTTTTCAACTTAGAAATTCTCCCACCTCAACCTCCTGAATGCTAGGATTATAGTTATGTGACATGACATCTGGCTTTATGGAACAAATTTTACCTTCTACTATATTTATAGATCATATAAATGCTTTCTAAATTGTTTCATTACAAATTCAAGTGTGAGAACAGAAACTTAGTAGTCTGCATGTCCAGCCTCATCTGATATTGGAAGCTAAGCAGGGAATAGGGGAGATTTAGATAGATTACAGAGATGATATATAATTTTTTGTTTGTATTTATTTTTTCCTTTATTTTTAAGATTATACTATAATTACAACATTTCTCTCTTCCCCTACTTCCTCAAGACCATCCCATATAACCTTCCTTGCTCTCTTTCAAATTCATGGCCTTTTCCCCCATTAATAAACAGAGACTTTGGAAAGGAAGTTATCAATGCTTGATATCAATTTCATGATCATAGTCTTTGAAGTTACTATGGTAAAAGGCCATTAGAAAATTAACACAGTTCTCAAAGAAGTGCTTGCAATTTGTTTCATGTGAGTATTTTTTTGTGACTCTAGAAACAGAAATAATATGATCGAAACAATTCAAATAGGGAAAAGTAAACTGCGTTTGCATGCATATTTGTGTGTGCATGGGAGTATGTGAATGCCATAGGACAACTACAGGTGCTGTTCCCCAGGTGCCATACATTTTTTTGTTTTGAGACAGTCTTCCATTGCCCTGAAAATCACCAGGTAGAGTAGTCTGGCTGCCCAGCAAGTCCAAGAGACCTACATGTCAATGTCATCCCAGTAATGTGATTTCAAGTGTATACAACAAAGCCTTGACTTGTTTCTGTTTTTAAACTTGAGATCTGGGGATCAAACTCAGGTCCTCATGCTTGCAAGAGAAACGCTTTTCTGAGTGAGTGGGCTCTTCAGCATGAAATCAATAAATGTTCTAATTTATTCTAGTCAAATTTTAATAGTCAATTACAAAAGATCAGTATGAAAGAAATTTGTTAATTAGTTCAAATATTCATTTTTTAATGAGAAACAGAAATCACAGCACAGTAGCATCAGGAATTTACTTTTCATCATAACAGTAAGGGTCTCACCTTGTTAGCTACTTTTATTCTATTTTTCTATGAAGCCAATTCTTCTTGAGAGAGGTTAAACTGTACAATGTTTATAGAGGTTGACTAAACATTATGCTTGGAAACAGAAGTACTTAAAAGTCTGGAGATTTTTAGAGTATTGAACGTCTGCACACACAATTGGTTAAATATCTCTCATCTTGAAATTCAAAATGCTCTGAAATCTGAAAATTATGCTATGTCAATCACATAAAGTACTCTTGATTATTTTTTTAGTATTTTAGACTTCCATTTTTTGGGTTATAGCTGTTCAATGTGGCCCCTCTGATAATTTTTTTTTTTTGGTAAATTACTAGGAATGAGATGATTAGTTAAATGAAAACTTTTGGGTTCTTTCTCTTTTCCCCACTGACCTTTTCTGTACATGTTATACAGACACTACATTTTATATTCTCGTGGCACTGCTATTATAGTATACCAATGACAACAATTTAAAACAGTAATAAACCTGATGGCAATATTTGTGTTGTTTCAAGTTTTTAGAAGATTTCTAGTAAGGATATGCTTTTTGTTCATGTGTCTTTACTACATGAATTTGTTTTTTGAAATGCCTCGTCTTGATTTTCAATCACCTTATTTTCTTTTGCATGATTAGAAGGGCTCTAGCAAACTATTAAACAGATTTGTTGTGAAAATTTTACTTTCAAATCAGTGGCATTATTGCTGTATCTACAGCTTATAATGTGGTGATTAATACAGGACGTGCACTAAAATTTTCACTGACTGAATTTCTCAATCTGTGTCTTCTCTTCAATAAAAATAGAATGAATAGTTGATAATTCTGAAATTTGGGTCAGAAAATATCTAATTTTAGAATATCTATATCATTTTGTAATATGAAGTTCTAAGAATGGTTTCATTGAGATATAATATATTAAAATCACAAGTGGGATTCAGACTGAATTGCAATATTAATATTTCACAGGCCATTTTTAATTCTAAGTTTTCTGACAATATGCATGTGCCACAATGTCTAATTTTATGGAACCATTTTTTACAGTATTTATACATCAAAGGAATGTTTTTAAAACACATTAGGAGTCAAAGATATTTTCTGAAGTTAAAATTTTTCATTTGCAATTTTACTATTTATTCTATAATTCATTTCCCTATCTTCCAGTTTGCACAAAATTCTAGAGGGTCCAAGAGAATTAAAATTCCATTAAACAGCTACAAACTTAGCCTAAATGAAAAAGATCTTAAGTGATGTAAATATATTTTCAGTTGGTAATCTCAAATTTTATTATTAGTATAGAGTACAAAGTTTAAGTAAATAAACCTAAGTTTCACTATATTAATTGGAAATTAAGAAGAACTAAACGAGTATTAACATATATTCAGTTGGAATAAGAACTAGGCCAAAGGAATGTGATCAACGGATGAGCAGGACCTGAAAAGGCAATCCCATTTAAAATCTGCATGTTTCAGATATAGAAACTGAACTCTATTAGTTCTTAGAGAGTTATAAAGTTGCATGCTAGGACTTTTTTCAATATTTGGTGTCTTAGTGCAATAATTTTACATATTCAATATTATCTTTTCAAAAACTTTGAGCCCATAATTTTTAAATGTTGTCTACGACTCAGTAAAATGCAAATGCTAAATAAACAGCTTTTCTACTATTTCGTTAAACTGAATTCATAAAGATGTAATGAACTGTCCTGGGTATCAATGTGAATTATTAGGATCATGTTTAAAGGTTATGCATATATTTTCAATAAACCTAGAACTAACTCAAGCTCCTAAATTAGATTAAGAGAAATCTACAAAACAACTTTAAGGAGATCACCCAGAACTTTTTTTTATATAATCAGAAAATAAAAAACAAATAAAATATCAAAAGTAGAGACTGGTAAAAATATATTAATTAAAATATGAACTAATAATAAAAATTATACAAAATATGTATCATAAAGTGTTTATGACAGAAAAATGTTTTCACATTACTAAGTGAAGTACATGTTATAGTTTAGTAATAACAGTCAACATATTTCAAACACTGTTCTAAGGATTTTATAATCAGTTTTAAAGTTCATTCTTAAAACAACCTTATGAGGCAAATATCATTAGAGATTCATTTTATATATTATAAAGGTTGCAGAGAATAA